GGTTATATACCTAAAATAATTGAGAGCGGAGGCTTAAATAGATATTTGTACTCCCATGTTCATAGCAACATTATTCACAATAGTCATAAAGTAGAAGCAACCCAAGTGTTCATTGAGAAATAAATGGATAAATAATATGTGGTATATACATTCAATAAAATATGATTCAGCCTTAAGAAGGAATAAAATTCTTCTACACACTATAATACAAGTGAACCTTGAAAATGTTATACTAAGTTAAATAAGCCAGACACAAAAAGACAAATACTGTATTATTCCACTTTTATAGGGGTCCTACAAATCAAATTTATACAGATATAAGGTAGAACAGTGGTTACCAAGGACAGTGGGAGATGGAGAATGGGAAGTTATTATTTAATGGGTATAGAGCTTCAGTTTGAAATGATGAAAAATTGCTGGAAATGGATAGTGGTGATTATTCCACAACAATGTGAATTTAATGCTACTAAATTGTACACTTAACAATGATTAAAATGTAGATATTGCACTATGTATATTTTTCCACAATAAAAATTTAAAAAAATGGACCATTTTAAAGTGAACAATTCAGTGGTATTTAGTGCATTCACAATGTTGTGTAGCCACCACCTTTATTTAGTTCCAAAACATTTCTATCACCCCAAAGTAAAACTACTTACTCACTAAGTAGTTTCCCTCCTTTACTCTATCTACCCGGTCTCTGGTAATCACCAATTTGTGTTATATCCTGTGTTGGTCTTCTGATTCAGCCATAAAAAAATACCACAGATTGGGTGACTTAACGGAAATTAATTTCTCACAGTTCTGGAGGTTAAAATTCCAAGATCAAGTTGTCAGCAGGTTTGGTTTCTCTTGAGGCCTCTTCCCTTGGTTTGTAGATGGCTGTCTTCTTGCTATATCTTCATATGACCCTTTTCTTTTGAGCAAACACTCTTGGTATCTCTTCCTTTTCTCAGGAGAACACTTATTTGATTGGGGCCCCACCCTTAAGACTTTACTTAACCTTATTTACTTCCTTAAAGACCCTATCTCCAGAATACAGTCACATTGGGGGTTAAAGCTTCAACCTATGAATTTGGGGAGAACACAATTCAGTACATAACATTCCACCCTCTGGCCACCCAATATTCATGTCCTCATATACAAAATAAAAAATACATTTATCCCATTCCAACAGCCCCCAAAGTCTTAACCTATTCCAGCACCAACTCCAAAGTCTCATCTATCTAAATTAAGTCTGGGTGGGACTAGAAGTATGATTCATCCTAAGGCAAAAATCCTCTTTAGCTGTGAGCCTGTGAAACTAAAGAATTTAAGTGCTTCCAAATAGATGGTGGGATAGGCATACAATAGATATTCTCCTTTCAAAAGGGAGAAATCCAATATCATGAAGCTTTCTGCATGCTTTCTTCTAAGAGTTATAGTTTTAGCTCCTAGGTTTAGGTTTTTGACCCATTTTGAGTTAATTTTTGTAGATGGTGTAAGTTAAGGGTCCAACTTTCTTTTGCATATGAATGTGCAGTGTTCCCACCACTTGTTGAAAAGTGGTATGTCCTTTCCCTATTGAATGTCCTTGGCATCCTTGTTGACAATCTTTTGACGAAGCATGTGTGGGTTTATTTTTGAGATGTCTGTTTTATCCCATTGTCCTATATGTCTGTCATTATGTGAATACCACACTATTTTGATTATTGGAGCTTTGATAACAGTTGCACTGCAATGAATGGTTTCTTCTGAAGAGCTTCCAGTGTTCCAGTGGGAGCATTACCCTGCCCACACATTAATTTCTGACTTCTGGTCTCCAGACCTGTGAGAGAATACATTTGTATTGTGGTAGTTTTGTTTGTTTACAGCAGCCACAGGAAACCAATACAAATGAATATTTATGCTTATTTTCAATTTCCCACATTTTCCCTGAGACAAGCAGATAAACACTCCCTCTTAATGGGATCAATTCAAAATGGCTAGGATGGACTCTCACAACAAAGGTTTTAAATTGGCAAGAGGAATGAAATTTTTATCTATTTTATTGTTTATATGTTACCCACATTGGAATGAGAGAAAAGCATTACATAGTCTTCAGCTGAGGAAATCATCTTTTTTAAGACATGTGAACCCTCCCCTTTAACTTTTATTTACAGTAGTGCTGTATTTTGCATAACGTTTAATATTTTTTACATAGTAAATACCAATCTTTCCCTTTATGGTTTCATCTTTTATTTTTCTAATGCTCAGATAAGCCTTCTCCTTTATGCTTTTTCCTGAATTCAGACTAACATATATCTATATTCTTTTAGTTATTTTATTGGTTTGTCCTTAATATACTTGAGATAAAAATGTATGCACAGGTAACTCCCAAACTCTAGTGTGCAATAGAATCAGCTGGGAGTTTGTTAACATTGCAGTTACCTAGGCACCATTACTAAAGGGTATTCTTGGGTGAAGGGCCAGGATTCTGTATTTTAAACAACTTGCACATGTGATTCTGAAGCATTTGATACACTAGCAAACTTGAAGGAACACTCACATACACTACTTTTTTAAAAGATTTTATTTATCTGACACAGAAAGAGAGAGAGAGAGCGAGCACTCTTGAGCATGAGCAGGGGGAGGGGCAGAGGGAGAAGCTGACTCCCTGCTGAGCAGGGAGCCTGATGCAGGGCCTGATGCAGGGCTCCATCCCAGGACTCTGAGATCATGACCTGAGCCAAAGGCAGAGGCTTAACCAACTGAGCCACCCAGGCGCCCTCACATATACTATTTTAAAAGGATCTAATGTGTTGCTTTTGGGGTATAACTCCTCCTCTTTGATATGTATTTCACAAGATCTATATTCTAGATAAATGAAATGAATTGCTTAGGATCACACAGTCAATCAGGGGTAGTGCAGAGAAAATAAACCAGAGATACTTAGGTCACAAATATACTCAGTTGTTCTAAATTCTACATGTACATCAGAATCATTGTGAGTTTTTACAATGTAATGATCCCTTGGTCTCATTTCCAATGAGTCTGATTCAACTGGTTGGGAGTGGATCCTGAGCTCCACTTCAAAATCTCAGGTGATTCAAACCTGCTGCCAAGGTTGAGAACCTATGTATTAAAGATAACAACATACAAGTAAGACAGTTGTCTCTTTAAAAAAGGCACAGTCTAGTGGAAAAATAAAGCCTGATATATATAGGTTAGTTAAGGCACTTAAAAAGTATTTTCATATATACATGGGGAGGGGAGTGCCCAAACTTTAACTGAAGCTGGGGACTTCACTTTAATTATCTAAGTCCAGAGATGTCTGATAAAGTTGTAGGATTTTGTGGGTGTGCAGTAAAACCTAGCTGCCTGAATTTTTTGCCAGTTCTTCAGGTGATTCTGATGCAGTTGGTCTGTGTAGCACAAGTTGATAAATGCTGACATGTAACATCACAGTAAGTCCATGTGTTGAAATTGTTGTGTAATGCTTTCTCTGTTGCGTTTCTTTTTCAATTACAAGCTACAGTCTGTAGGGAAAAGTTACTTGCCCATAAATGATCAGAGGCAAACCTGAGCCCAGACTGCAGGACTCTTGACTCAGCTATACTTAACTGTTGTACCCTGCAACTTACCAGTCTCTATGCTAGGATCCGAGGGTACCAGGACAAATTGGACAATATATTTACCATGAGAAAGGCACAGTCTACTTGGGGACCACTGATGACTGGGTGATGGAAAATACTCTAAAACAAGGGTCCACCTACTAGGTCTCTAGTCTTAGCCAGTTTCCAATTGTTCTGTGATTATAGGCTTATTGGGCACAGCAAAAATCAGAGCAAAGGAAGAGGGAAACTCCTTTGGATCTATGTAGGTTAGTGTGAGTAGAGACTATGGGGGATTCTAGGGTTAGGATGGTATGGACATAAAGCCACCCCCACACCTGTGTATGTGCGGCGTGAAACCTGAGCAGTGTCTGCACAGAAAATGGAGTCAAGGAAACAGGCCATATTCATCAGAGGATGGAAAGGGTAATCCAACTTTGAACACACTATAATGAGTGGCACTCAAATTTATCTAGGGGAAGGGGATAAGGAAGAAAGTCTGAGAAAAACCATAAAGGGCTATTTGGATCCCTAAGCAGCACTAGGGAAGTACCCACCTGGATTCAGTATAACTACAAAGCAGGCAAGAGCATTCTCCACGTTTCTGAAAGGGCAAAATGGAAATACAGACCACTGAAGTTTCAAGAGAAATCAGTAGGTCTTTGTCACCTTTAGGACTCCAGCACATCAGCAGTGGTGGGGACCAGTGGAGGAAGCAAAACCTAACAGAAGGGAAGGAGTGCCTAGCAGTCATGGCATTACCTAGGGAAGGGAGACACAGAAGCCTAGGTATAGAAAGTTGTCACCCTGGGCTGCCTGGGTGGCTCAGTCAATTCGGTGTCTGACTTCGGCTCAGGTCATGATCTTGGGGTCCTGGGATGGAGCCCTGTGTTGGGCTCCCCACTTGGCAGGGAGTCTGCTTGTCCCTCTGCTCCCCCACCACTTGTGTGCATGCTCTCTCTCTCTCAAGTAAATAAAATCTTTAAAAAAAAGTGTCACCCACTTGGCATTCAATTAGACTTGATGGTAGACATACTTCTTGGGCCCTTCTCTAAATATGAAGAGCCCCTACAGGGTGCATGTGTTATCTTCATTTATAGATTAATAGGCTGACTGTAAGGAAATGTATCTGTAATAATGACCAGGTTTGTGCTTCTAAATAGGAGATCTTATTATAAGAGGTAATATAAGATTTATGTGTCTTTAAATTGTGTCTCGAGTATTTATTGATTGTCTCCATTCCCTTTATAAGCCAATTGGCAAGTTCTTTGCCTCTTACTCTTTTTCTGACACATATAATACATATGTATTCATTTTGGAAAAATGAGAAAAAATAGGTAATCAAGAAAAATTAAAGAAAATAAGAAAAAAAAGCATTCTGATATATATAATATGCATGCTTTTAAATGAGATAGTATATCTATAGACTGCTTTTTAAACTGCTTTATTACCTTCACAGTATGTAATAAACATCTTTCCATGCAAGTTGATGAAACTCCCCTGCTGACAGAAAAACTTCCAGACTAAGTCGAAATAAAATCTCCAATCAGAAAAATGACAGAAAACCACAGGTTCACAGTAAAGGGTACATCAAGAAAATGCAACTTTGGGAAGCAGGGGGGTTATTATTATTAACCTCGGCATTCAAGGCATAAGGCAAAACTCATCATGATGGTCATGGTGAGGGGGATCGCCTATAAGAATGCGCAAACTGTACCTCAACTGAAGCTCCCTAATTTTCCTCCTTAGCTCTCTCATCTCCTCCATGAACCGTTCCATATCATCTGCATCTCCATCTATCATGTCAAGGTTATTGACAAGCCTATTGGGCATATCCTCTCTAACATCATGGGCAGGTGGGGCCCAACCCGCTCTAATATTTCCTCCAGGCTCCTGGCCTTCACCACCTCCCAAAGGGTGGGCTTCTTCTTCATTCTGCACCGGAGCCTGCTCGTCGCCTTTGCTTTCCTGGGGGGCATTTTCCATGTTGAGACTTTTTTTTCCTGCTTACTCTTCCTAGGAGATAAAAAGCAAGAAGAAGGATGCAATGCTTTGTAACAACAGGATTCAGAGCTCTGTCTGAAAAGGTTTTCCCATGTGAGAGACTTCGTGCGCCCTCTAGGGGACGCCCCAGACCCAGCCCTCCTCCAAAGCCCACAATTTTCCCCGTAAATTTTTCCTTAGGCCACTCCTCGCACCTCCTGCCCTTAACTCGGGCAGAAAGGGCAGTGAGTCCCCCAGATTCTGTCTTAACCCCTGATAACCCTACACCACAGGGTCCCAGGAAGTCCCCTACCTGCAGGGATCAGAAGCAGTCTTCCTCTCTTAGCCTTGAAATCTGCTGCAACCAACAGACCTAAAGACCTGCAGACAGAAATGCGACAATGGTCAGGACTGATAACTTGATTAAAGGGCCAGTATCAGGGGCCACCAGCTCCGTCGTTGATTTAGGCCTCCGTTAATCAAATGTTGCCACCTTCTCTTTCTCCTCCATCCTGTGTCAGGGCTTCATTTCCTGCCCTTTGATACGCTACCCCGCCCTCCAGAAATGGGCACTGTAATCAAAGATGATTATTTCCAAGCCAGTTTCACCTCTTCTTTAGACCCTTTAACCCCTGTCTCATCCTTCCCGTCACCTAATTACCATTTCTCGAACACAAATGGACAACTTGCTGGGCGGGGGAGTCAAAACAGCTTGCTGGATGGTGACGTGGTTTATTTATAAAAAATTTCAATGTGGTTGGGACCCACTAGCCTTTCTGGAACTCACCCTCCTTTCACTGCCCACCATTTTATGCATCAAAATGGACGAAGGGCGAAGAGGTAGTGTGGGCATTGGCAAACCTGGACCCGCTGAGGTCTCAGCGCATTGTCTCGCTTACCCCAGGGTCCGCAAGCAGCTCCCACGCTTACACCGACCTGCAGGGGTCAGAAACAGTTTCTTGCTCCCCGACTGTATCTCAGTCAGAAAGCTTCCGCTCGCTTGCCTCCTCCGCAGAAGAGAAGTGTTTCCCGAACCTAATCTCTGTCCCTATCCTCCGCAACCATCATCTCCGCCCCGCTCCGGCCCCCTTCCCTCCGGCCCCGTTTGCCGCAGCCCACCATTTCCGGCTCCAAAATGGACGGAGGGTGGAGAACAGATTCCAGGACCGAGGCCTAGACCCGCGGCGGAGTCCGCCATCCCCAGGGTCAACGGTTGCGACCCCCTCCCTTCGCCCTTCTAGAATCAGGTTGTTTCCTCGCTGTCCCCTTCTCCGGCCCTTCCCTTCCAGACGCCAGATCGGCCAGATCCCCAGTCCTAGGACATCCTCACTGGTACCCGTTCCCAACTCTTGGCCCCTCTCGACCTCCTCCCACCAAGCCCTCCATTTCTTGCACCATATAAATGGGTATTGGGTAAGGGGTAGAGAGAATCCAAGAACCCGCTCTCGTCTTAGCCCTCTGCCACCCCAGTCAGCGCTCACTAACCTGCTACGGATCAGTGTCAGCTTCTACGACTTCCTCCTTCCCTGGGCTACAGGCTCGCCCGCCTTCAAGGCAATAGCGAGATGGCGCAGAGCCACGAACGACTACCAGACTGCAACTAGGAGGAGACACGAATCCACGCGTCAGCTCTAGGTCTCGTAAGGGCCACGTCACTGTGAGCTCAGATACCCAATTATGGTTCCCACCTGCATTGCGGCAAGAGGATGGGGGCGGGAGCGTGGGCGGGGCCACTTTTTTCTTCATCCCCGCCTTCTCCCCTCAACAACCCATTCCTATTTTTTTTTTCCTGTTTAGCAGTCTTTAAGACCAAGTGGGTCATGATATTTTGTAGTTTATATTTTGCCTTTCCCCTGATTTCTGCTGGAGCATTTTTTTTTTAAAGATTTTATTTATTTATTTGACAGAGACACAGCCAGAGAGGGAACACAAGCAGGGAACACAAGCAGGGGGAGTGGGAGAGGCAGAAGCAGGCTTCCTGCAGAGCAGAGAGCCCGATGTGGGGCTCGATCCCAGCACCCTGGGATCATGACCTAAGCCGAAGGCAGACGCTTAAGGACTGAGCCACCCAGGCGCCCGTCTGCTGGAACCTTTAAATAATTACTTTTTTCACTTCTAAACCATTAAATGCCTACTTCTCTCCCGTCACTCCCCAGCAAGTAAAACCCAGAATTACCCGTAACAGCGAGGCAAGGAAGTCTGGAAAATACATAGAAAGTGACATAAAAAAAAACACACACACTTTTATTTTATCTCCCTTTCTTTCTTTCTTTCTTTTTTTTTTTTGAAGGGAAAGGGTGATTATTTTTGTTTTGTTTCCCATTAGCATGCATTCCATTTTTGGCTGTTATAATTAGACAATGCAATTATTTTCAGTTGAAAAATAGGATTTCTAGTTGTAAAATCTAGACAACCTCCTTCTCCTTCACCCTATATATATAGACCCTTCAGAGACCAACCCCCTTTTAAGGACTTTAAATTATAAACCTAAGCTGGTGGTTCCCCTTGTGAAGGGTCTCTGTGAGGTCTTTCCATGAGGTGAGGCATTGAGTCTTGCTGGTGGATTTTCATACCTTGAGAACCTGTGACAAACTTATGGTCTCCTCTAAATTATATTAGTACAACTTCACTTTACAAAACTCTAGCATGGCCTCTAAAGTAGAACAACACTGAGGTCTTCCAACAATCCAGAATAATAATTTGGGAAAGTTATGCTGACAGATACAAAGTATCGTGAAGCTATAATATTAAAACAATATTATAACAGAATAAATATAGGACAAATAAGCAGTAAAGAAGGCCATTGTCAAGCCCAAATACAGAGAAATATTAGAAATCTGATTGAAATATTTTTAATTAGCAGGGAGAGGTTAGATTACTGAAGGAATGGTGCTGGGACCATTGGTCAGCTATTTGGAAAAAAAAATTGAAGTGCCTTTTTCCTGTTAAATACAGACATAAAATATTTAGATAAAGGGACATGAAACCACTGAAAGTAGTATATAACAAATGTTACTTTGTATGTAATCTTAGGATGAAAAAGTTTGTTAAAAATATAGCACCAGAGACAGATATGGCCAAAGGGCAACTGGCCTAATCCTGTTGGGGACCCTCTAAGTCTAAAATACCATCCCCCTCAGAATTATCCCAATTAGCGATGGGAAACTGGAGTGTTTATCCACAGGCATGGGTTATTTATTGGTAGATGTTGCCCTGGGAATGTTAAAATCTCTGACACTTCAAGGTTGTCCTAAGCCTGGGTTGAGCAAGTTCCAAAGATACCAGAAAAAGTCCTCAATAAAATTAGTAAAATTAAATACAGGCAAGGTAGAAAGACAGTATCAGCTTTATTCCTGCCTCAAGAAATATACTATTCACATTTTACTCTAAATCAGTCCAAATATTTTCCTTTAAAAAAGATAATACACACACATGTCCATTCCAATATTTATGTATATTTGGGCTATTTGTAGTTTTCACTATGAGAAACAATGTTGATTGAACTTCTTTGTACATAGTTTTTTAAATACCAATATGTATTAAATTCCTAGGACTGTCATTGAAATGACTATGGATGCTTTTAATTGTCATGGAAATCAACCGTGAAAAATATTGTCTCAGTTTGGCATCTATAACATCTGAGCATTCCTGTTTTCTCATGAGTCCACCAACACTATTACCTGGTTTATTGTACTTTTAAATTTTTGTTTGATTTTTGTTGTATTTTTTCTTATTTCATTTATTTTATTTGACTTCTGGTGAGCATAGCATAACATATAGAGAAGTTGGATCACTATGTTGCACACCCGAAATTAAAGCAACATTGTGTATCAGCTATACTCAAGTAAAAAAACTGTTTTCAAGGCCATCAGGCAATGTTTTCTAAACCTGTCACATCATAACAGATACCTGAGATTAAGATTCCAGACTTTTCCCTGAAGATTCTAGTTCAATAAATTGGAGCCAGGTCTGGGAACCTGTATTTAAGTTCTTTACACAATTCTTTTTTTAAAAAAAGATTTATTTATTTATCTGAGAGAGAGAGAGATTGTGATCATGCAGGGGTGGGGGGAGGGGCAGAGGGCAAGGAAGAGAGAGAATCCTATGCAGACTCCCCACTGAGTACAGAGCCTGAAGTGGGGGTCAATTCCACGACCCTGAGACTACAACCTGAGCTGAAATCAGATGCTCAACCGACTGAGCCATCCAGGTGCCCCACAATTCTTAAAATCAGATAGGTTTGGGAATCATGTCATAGGCAAAAAGAATCAAAACTAAATTAAAAAAACCCTTCCATTATTATGTAAGTGGTCTTTTTTTTTAAAGAAAATTATAATTTCAAAGCTACAGAATAAGATTAAAAAATAGCAAAAGAAGCCCCACAAGGCCTTCACTATATTTCCCACTTGTTAACATTTGGCTACATTTGCTTTATTATTTTCTCTTCATGTAGAAGGACTCATTTTTTTCTGAATCATTTGAGTCAGTTGAAGACTAAATGATCATTTAAAATTACTTAGTTCGATTAATTTCATATAAAATTTTCTTAAAAATTAGTTTATTTTTTGTCTTTGGAGGTTTCTTACATAAAATTTGAAATATATATAAACTTGTAATATATAAAGATAAATATTTTAGCATATGGTCTTACTAAATGTTCTCTAGTCACTATTATATAGTTTATTTATGCTTCTATTTTAATGTAATAGTATATCATATTTTCAGGTTAGTAACAAAGCACTCTACCTGTTTTTGATGTTTTAAGAGTGTTCGAATTATCTTAATTTATTTAACCAACCCCCAGGTGATTCATATTGGCATTATTTCCATATATTTACAGTTATTGGTCTTGTTTCAATAATGTATATATGCAGATTGCCCTCAAAAACATTATCTGCTCATGCCTTCACCAACAAAGGTTGTAATCAATCATATTAATTTAGGAAATATTGAATCATGCAAAATAAAGTTGAGAGAATAAAACATACATCCATGCTTTTACACTATATATAGTTTGAAAATATATAAATACATATTTATATACATACAGACACATAGAGACATTTTAACGTATTTTAAATGTGTGTATATGCATGTAAATACATATATATGCACACATATACAAACATAACCTGCTTTTATTACAAATCATGTTTTTGAGATTCATCTATGTTGATGTATAGATAGATGTAGGTCTCTTTTACAGCAGTACAATATTCCATTGTATAATTGTATTGTTCATTTTTTGTTTTCCTATTGATGAACATTTAGATTTTTTCCCTTTTTTTGGTTACAAGCATAGATTCAGGAAATATCCTTGTGCATGTCTCCTTTGCACTTCCTTCACTTGAACAGCAAAACTTTATATTTGTTCTGTTTATCATTTTTAGGTTTTTTGTTTTTTTGTAAGCCTGATCTACCAGGATTTTCCAAATCTACCCTTTCTTGGGTGGTGTCCTAGCTATGTAAATGATACCTAGATACATAGGTTTGTCTTCTGGAGGTTTTAATTTAGTATGTCTGGAATAGGAGATGACAGTTTGTATTTTACAAAGAACCCCAGATTATTTATAAGATCAGGCAAGTTTGGGAACCCTTTAATGAGTTTTAAAAATTATTTCTTTAATTTGCTGATTTATTTTCTTTAATTCTTAGCATAGTTCAACATCTATTCTTAAATATCTTTATTGTCCTTAATGACTGTGTTTAAAAAAATACAGTAATACAGGTATATGTAATGTAGAAAGTGAATGAGTTTGCTATATATTTTTCAGAAAGTTTATTTTGTATGCCTTTATGTATAGGAATACTTTCTTAGCTCAAGCAAGGATGAAGTAATACTTAAAATTGTTCTTTAATATTTAGGATGTTACTTAGCTTCTGACGAGAGTAGCACTTAACAAAATTGTAGGTTGACAGGAAAATTTCAAACTGAATACATTTCTCTAAGTTTTCTGTAAAAGCAAACAATTTTGTTAAACCCTGAAATTGGTACACACACACACACACACACACACACATCCCTCACTGATCTGTAATTTCCATTTCTTCTGTTTTGTCTGTTCTTTTTAAAAATATATTTCCAAAATTTTAATAATTGTTTTCCAAAAATAAAACAATCCAGTTTGATGTATATTATTGGAAATCATTTTCTATGCATATACTTATGTAAAGGAAAACTTTATTAAATCTGGGAAGAATTACATCATAAATGTGAGTTTCTCCTTTAAGGATTGTACAGAATTACGCTTAAAAGAAAGATGAAAGTTTGAAGAAGAATGAAGTTTTAGAGTCACTACATTTTTCCCATTTACTCTGAACAAGAAACTTTTGTTCTCCACTCAACTAAGTTTTTTAAAAAAATGAATACAAATTTTTTCTAATGCTAAAAGTTGCAAAAATTTCATGGTCATAATATTATTTCTCCTTTTGTTATTCAAAATGTTTTAAAATATTTGAAACACTGTAATATAGCATGAGTCACACAGTAATGGTTAGTGGGAAAATTATCATTTTAAAAATTCTATCAGCTGATGTAACACATCCCTTTGTTAAGCTTAGTAAGCTTTGTTAAACAAAGCTTTGTACTGAAATGTTACTAAAACTCAGTTTTTCCTGATAATATTAGTAAGAATGGTTTAAGATAAATCTCCCTCCTGGGTAGAAATAAGGATAATTCAAATGGCTT